CGTGTGATATTATTTTATGGAAGATTGTGTGGTTAAAAATAAGAGAGAGAGAGAGAAAAAGAATGAGAATGGGGGCATAGTATTCACTTTAAACAATGCAAATTTTAATACAAATATCCAAATAACATAATGAGTAGAATAATTGTTCCCAATTAAGAGGATAAAAAAAACTGAAAAAGGAAAGGGAAAAGAAAAATACTTTCATCTTTTATCCTATTCATCCTTGAAGTTGATTTCTTTCGCTGTTAGAACATTTTCAAGAGGCTCTTTAAATATAAAATACTTTCTATTTTAAAATCAACCATTAAAATCATGTTTTAAAAGATTTTTTAAATTAATATTTTAATTCAGAGAACTCACTCTTTATATAATTAAATGCATTCAAATCGTTTCAAATTTCAATGTACGAAAATAATAAAATAATTTAGAAAAAGCTAGTTAAAATAAAAGATAGCAAAAAAATAATAAATAGTTTTTTGGAGAAGTAAAATTAAGTGTTAAATATAAATAGTTTGTTGGAATACTTTAAAACTTTTACTCTCTAAAATGACCAATATGAGCTCGAAGCTTCTTTTGTTACTCCCAGAACTTCTTCATAGTGGCTCCGCATTTTAAGTAATTGTAGTAAAACTTGATCTGTTGATCCCTTGGCTTTTTCGGCAAAGTGAAGAAAAGATTTAGAACTCTATATTGATCAGACGACACCCGAATTTGAATTGGGGAAAAAGGATTTGCATTAACTATTGACTGCATACTTCAAATTCATGAACAATTCTGGAATTTAAATCTCCAAATTGTGTTGAGATACTTTTCAAATGATCGAATATGCTCTTTAAAAATAAAGAATCTCTTGGAAATCTTTGTAAATGATATATCCCACATTGATTAAATATTAAAATTACAATTAGCTCTTGTTATATATATATATATATATATATATAAGTATTTGAGACTAGGTTGGCATTTTAACGTGAAATTTCAAACTTGCCGATGCATCCTAACCCTAGTTTTGCCTTCTTTCTTCATCCAAGCTTAAGCAGCGATATAGGGTGATTTTTATTTATTTATTTATTAAATAAGGTATAATCAACTTTCCAAAGAGACCTAATCTTTTGAAAGTGAAATGAATAGAAACTCACTCTCAAGGACCCGGCGTGCTACCAACTTGGAACATTGATGATCCAAATACAAGGTGGCCCTCCATCGCAATATTCTCTTTTGCTATTGGGCCTGTGAAATTTAATAAGGGTACTTATACAGGTTGAACCCCAACTTTGAGGATCCCCACCACCCCATTCATAGAACTTTGTGGGGGAGGTAAATCGCAAGATGTATAATAGACTAAACTTTGTAAATTTTGACGGATGAATCAAACGGTTAGAAGCCAAAGAGTGTAAAAGTCTACAATAAAGTCACGAGTACAGAAATTTTTTAACATAACTTATACCGACATTGATGCAACAAAACATGATTGGATTGTTTTTTTTTTCCCATCTTTCAATGATGTCGCGCCATGTGTTGTCTTTAAGATTTTTTTGGCAAAAAATTTTGTATTGTTCAAAAATCTATGGTCTTGATCTTATGCCATTTATCATGTTTGAATTTAATTCTTTTTTACCAAATGGTTCATGGTTCGGTAGTCGTATCGATCCTTCCACATGCAATACTTTTTTTGACTATTGAGGAATTTAAGACTCCAGTTTGCTAGTTTTATGCAATGGGCAATTTATGAAAATCTTAGTTCAATGAAACAACTTTTGAGGTTGAATTCAAATAAAACAAGTTGTATTAGAGTATTTTCAAGAGATTCTTTACTTTTAAAGGACATATTCTATCATTTGAAGAGCATTTATAAATTTAAATGGTTAAAATTTTGAAGTACTCTAACAATCTCTTTATATTCCCTCCATCTCATTTATACAGGGTGATTTTATTTTTCACACTAATTAAAAAAATCTTATTTAATGTTAGTGAAAAAGTAATTTTTACCAAAAATTGAATGATATAATTTTCGAGAATTAGATATCTTTATGTTTGTCCAATTTTAAGATTAAATGGAGAAAATTGATTATAACTAAGCAAATTAAATAAAAGTAATGTTTAAGCCTTGAACTTCTATATATCATTTGGATTTTTTATTTTCTTTTCGTGTAGTTTTATATCATGTTTTTTAGAGTTATGACAGGACATTTTGGTTTTATATCATGTCGTTTAGAGTTATGATAGGATGTTTCGTTATCGAGAGAATTTGGCTTCAATCAAGATTGTGGCTACTTTTTATACAATCTACAAAAATAATGCCTTAAATACCTTCAAGAAATTTTTTATTTTTAAAGAGTATATTTTTTTTGTAATTTGAAGAGCATTTATAAATTTAGAGTAAATTTTTTTAAATACTCCAGCAACATCTTTATTTTTAACACTTAATTTTACAATTCCCAATATGTATTTTTTTCCTATCTTTATTTTCACTCAATTCCCTCCAAATTTTTATACTATTTTCTTTGTATGTTCTATTTTATTAGGTCAACATATGGAGCATTCAAATTGAGATAATTTTTTTTTATAGAGAGTGAATTTGACTCACCAAATTCTAAAGTCACCAAATTTTAAAGTATTAATTTGAAAAATTTCTTGTAACATAATTTAAAAGATAGACTCTTTAATATAAAGAGCATTTTATTTTTAAATAATCTATTGGAAATTCTTTTAACTGATTTATCACATTTTTGTCCATCAATGTGGTCTAAGTGCATAAATAGTTTTCGATAATCAAATGTAGGGGTGACAATGAATCGAGTTGGCTTGACTCGGCTTAATTCGACTTCAGATGGGATATTGTGGACTGAGGCAATCATGATCTCACGAAGTAATTTGTATTTTAAAGAAATTAATAGAACAAGCCCCAACATGAGCTGGTTTGCGAATCCAAAATGAGCTGGCTTGTGAAGAAAATTGAGTTTGGCTCAATCCATTGTTAGTCTTATTACGAGTGTGAGTCGTCTATGAATTGACTTAACTTGGTTGTTGCCCCTAATCAAAGAGAAGTAGAAGCCAGATATTTTTGTTCGTAGGCCACCATCAAAGTTGGTCTTGTTGAAATTTTTATCAACAATTACAAATATAAGTCGATTGTGAATTCTAATTTTATCATATCTTTTTTCATTTTGTGGCAAGTAAAATTACAAACTCATTAGTTATAACAAAGTTTGAAAGGCGCGAGACGTGACAATAACATAAGATCAAGTTTTAAGATCATGAATCTTTATGCTCCGTTGGGCCCCAATTCTTCATTGTCAATGCTGTTGAAGATTTCTTGAAGAATGAGGTTCTTGCAGGTATCATATATACTTTATACACGAGATATGGTGCTCTCTAGTTATGATTACGTTCGGGAACATGCAGGTTGAGATGAAGTGATGCTACAAATTTTCATTGTTCTAATGCTTTGATGTAGTAGTTAATTTCTAGTAACAATTTTCATTTGTAAGGATTCACCATTCTAGTAGCCTCAGACTAATCTTGAAATGTATAAAAGGTCGATTCAGATTATCATTTTTATTTCAGGCTAGTGAACAACTCAAATACTCGGTCTGAATCAAAAGGCTAAGATTCAAGTGATTGATTACACTAGTGAACTTAGGGTCCCCGATGGTAAGTTGTTATGATATTCCATGTTCTCCGTTTCACTTGGATTTATGCTTCTAAGGATAGTAATATATTCAATGGAGAGAGGGGAACCAAGTGGCGGATTGTTTAGCTGGAGTGGGAGCTAAAGGCTTGTCGAACCGTTTTAATACTTGGACAGAGTTGCCAAGGCTTGCTCAAGGGTTACTTTGTATGGATATGATGGGGGTGGCTTATTGGAGGAAGTGAGATGTGGATTGAGGTTAGGGTAGTGGTGTTTTTTGAGATTGTTGGTGATTTAGCTCGTATGCTTTGCTATTTGTTTGGTATAGTGTCGTTGTTCGAGTCTGTTAGCGCGGTATTCCTCAGCCACAAGTGAGGGCTTATTAATAAAGTATTTTTTGAAAAAAAAAATGAAAAATGAAAAAGGATAGTAATATATTTTAGACCATTCCTCCAATCCCATTCATTGCAAAACCCAACTGTTAAAACTTCTGCAAATCCATTTGATCTTGGATTTTTGTTGGACCCAGTCTTGTAAAACTTTTGCGTATCATCTTTATTCTCTAAGGACAAGTCTTTACTCTTTTTTGATGTCAACATTAATGCAGAAATTGTCTCTTCATTTGCTACTGGACTTACAATATTTCTGCTAGTAACCGAGCATACTCAGAAGCCATTTCTGCAGTTTAGCCCAAAGAGATGGAGCATTATTACCGGCCTGAGAGGATACTTGACATCTGCCTTCTTTACTATGGGCTTTAAGATTTTTGCCTCCATCCTAGCGGTTTATGTCACCTGGCCAGTGCTGGGCTTACCTGCATTGGTTTCAGTATTTCCTTTCTTAGTTGGCTGTTTGGCTTAGTATTTATTTGAGAGACGTCTAGACAGTAATGGATCATCCTGCTGGCCTCTATTGCCCATTATCTTTGAGGCAAGAAAGTTCAGCCATGAATTTCGATTCTTTCATTGTAAAGAGAAACATAGCATTAAACGGATTTATATTTTCTGTGCAGGTTTATAGGATATATCAGTTGACAAGGGCTGCCAGTTTCATCGAGAAGTTAATGTTCGCAATGAGAGGGGCGCCTCTGTATCCCCTGCAGTTTTGGATAGAACTGGCACGTTGGTTTCCATGATTGTGACTTTCCGTGTCCTAGGTTTGGTTTGTCTTTTGTCCTTGCTAACATTTCTTAGGCTTTTTCCATGTAGACCAGTTGCAGAGAACTACTGATTTGTATATAGGATGATACATCTGCATGATTTTGGCCAATATCATTACAGTTGATGTTCTTAAATCATTTCAGTTCATTATCAGCAATTCTTGTTTTAGTTTTCTGCCATATGCCATTAGGGAAACCTTTTAAAATTGGTGATGAATGAGAACATAGGTTTATTCCAATCTCTAATTCGACAATATTTACAAATAACCAACCAGAAATGTTGTGTCTGGATTCATGTACCGATAAATTATTCATACAATTAGAAGAATACAAGCATATAGCAGTGAGAAAGAATAGGATTATACATGTGAATTTTGAAGGCTGCTGCTCCACAAATTCTGAGCTGATCCTTCGTGTTAGCTTCCATGAAAAACATCGAATGATGCAAATTTAGGCTGCAGATCAATTTGGAAAACATCACAAAACTCCCTAATTAATGATTTATACGCGATGTCGATCAACTTGCTGTCATCAGTGTGATCATTATTTGCTGCTCTATGTCCGTCTAACGACAAATTTTCTCTTAGCAACCTCTTTATACTTCCAACTTTACTATCCCGAATCCCACATGGCACTATCTGATGAAAGGGTGCAATATCTGTAGTGACATTTAGTGCCAATCCATGAAAAGTTATCCATTGTGATACTTTTATTCCAATGGCTGCTAATTTCTGGTCTCCTGAAGGTGTCAGTATTGCATATTAGTCAAATTATAATATCAAAGCATAGAGGAAATTAACACATCTCGAAAAGCTACATAACCTATGAGACTAATGATAAACAAACAAGAAGAATAAGGAAATAACTGACTCGGTTTTGAAGAACAATGTAATACAAGACATACCAACCCAAACACCAGTTAGGCCATCAACTCGTGATGCATCAATAGAAAATGTCGCAGAAAGAACTCGAATGACAACCTCTTCAAGCGCTCTGAGGTACCAATGAAGATCCATCTTGTGATATCGGAGATTGATAATGGGGTACATAACTAGCTACATTACAACATAAGTAAGAATTCTTGAACAAAAATCATCAGCAAGTTCTCAAAACGACATACAGCGTCAAACTAAGCCCTTCTCCCAATAAATTTGGGTCGACTACATATTTTTTTTATCTGCTTTTCCTCAACACACCAAAAATTCTCCTGATAAACTTTAAAGTCTTAAAGAATGTCTAAATTTGCATATCACGTAAAATCCCCACGTGAAGACTAACAATATATATGATCTCCTCGAGCAATACAGATGCCAAAACTACATAAATTCGAATCAACAGTATATATACCTGACCAGGCCCATGGTATGTTACTTCGCCACCGCGTTCAGTTCGATACAAATCAAAAGGAGCGTTCTTTACATCAAAATTCAAGTATTCTTCTGAACTACCAGTGCCCAATGTGTAAACTGGCTGGTGTTGCAAAATAATCAAAGTATCAGAAAAATCTTCCTGCTTTTCAATCAATGGTTTTCTCTCTTTAACTATGGCCTTTTGCCATGTCCACGCCTCTAAATATGGAATCAGCTCTTTATGCAAATCGTAGTAATCACAGCTGGAATTAGGATTTAAAAACCCAATTTTGAAAAATATTCTACTATTTTTGTCAAAAAAAGAAAAAGAAAAAATGTTAGGACAATGAAATTACCTTCTTCTGGGTTTATGGGTCATGGAGATAATTGAACTGATGATAGACGAATGGATTTTGTGCGCTGTTTTTGATGGACTACGAGTTAAAGAGAGTGGGCTTAAGCTAAAATTGGGATTTACAAAGATAATCATATTTCAAGATTGTCTCTTTATTTTTATAATGGTGGTATCTAAGGCTTTTAACTGAAGTGTGTGGTCACAAAACTGAAGAAATTAGTGTTTGAAAAAATTTCTGAGGTGCAGTAATGGAGTGTTAGCGCTAGGTTAGTTGTGGAGGCGGCAATGAAAATACTTACATCTTACGCTTTGGACGCGGCGGAGCAACCAATGTGTTGGCCGCTTAGGACGCCACTGTGGGCGTGAGGGAAATTGGGGAAAAGGGCCCAAATGTTTGCTCATTGGGCCAAATCTTTCAAATTTGACAAAGATGGTCCGAGCATTCTTTGTACAATTAGACCTTTTGGATGGATAGGAGAATTCACTTTCTTTAATGGAAATTACATATTTAGCCCAATTTTTGACAAAAAATAATGATTTTGTCCCTAATCAGTTTTTATATATCTTATAAATCTCCAACCTTCAACCTTCAACCTTCAAGAGACTAAAAGTGCCCCATTGTTAAGCATATTTTTAAGGGATTTTGGTTCTTTTCGTCCTCACCTTTGCAAAATGTTATTAATTCACTCTTCACATTTTTTTGCATCAGACATTCTCAACCTTGGAAAATAAGGATAAAGCTACACATACAAAATGTGGTTCATATAAATTGTACAGAAATTCAAAAGAGGACGACGTGTCGTGGAAAGGAAAAGAAAGGGACAGTTCATTTCGATAAAAAAAATATGAATAAATTTTTGATGTTTTTGTCTTAATTTTCGTGGTCACTTCAAGATATCAAATGAAGTCAAAATATTACATACTTAACATTATTTTGAAGTACTCACAGTCCAATTTTTCACACTGTTAATTTTGCACAAAACAACTAGTCATAACAAATGCTATAGCGCGTCAAAGTAGATCATTCCAAACTAGTATTTCGAGGTTTTCGGTAACGAGCTAATTTTAAAATTTGTTCGACAATTGTACACTAATCAAATCTATAAATCTTCTATATCCTATCGAAGTTCGTTTTGAGAACTATATCATAGACATATCAAATGATCCAAATGAACACCAAAAATAATTAAACATGCGTCAAACATGTATGTTAAAAAGAAACGTACAACTCGTCTTTTAAAAAAATAATTATTTTATTAATAGTTATTATTTTTGTACTACCAATTTCTCAATATAATTTATATCATTTTATTTGAAATTTTTACTTATGGTATGACATCATTTTTTTTATGTAAGTAAATTTTTAATAATTTCCTAAATAATCAAGAGACAATGTTTTACATTAATGTAAAAAATAAAAAAAAATTGACATTAATGTCAAAAGAGACGTCATTTAAAAAATTTAAAAGTTCATTAGGAAACTTTATAAATGTTGGCAAAAAATTTATTGGAAAATTTATTAGATTATTTAACAAAATAATTGATCGAGAGGAAAAAGTAATAGTAATAAAAAAATTCCTAAAAAAGATCTATTTATATATAAATTTTTCGGATGTAAAACTAATCAAAATGAAAGTAATATAACAATTTATAATCGTCATAGAGTAAAAGAAATTTTATTAGGAAAAAAAATGACGTCATACCACATATAATATTTCCTAATAAAATGATATAAATTATATTGAGGAATTTATCGTGCAAAAATAATAAATATTAATGAAATAATAATTTTTTTTTTAAAAAGACGAGTTATAAGCTTATTTTTAACACACACATTTTACGCACGTTTAATTATTTTCAATGTTCATTTAGTTCATTCGATATGTCTATGATATAGTCCTCAACTTCGACTAGCCATTTTGTGCAAAATTAACGATGTGAAAAAAATAGGTTGTGAGTATTTCAAAATGATATTAAGAATATAATATTTCGACTTCGTTTGATATATCGAAGTGATCACGAAAATTTAATAAATTTATTTATATTTTTCTCCAAGTGAATCATCTTTTTCCTTTTCCTTTTCCTTTTCCTTTTCACGACACATCACCTCTTTTGAATTTTTGTACAGTTTTTGTGAACCATGTGCTATACCGCATATACGTGTGGCTTTATCTGGAAAATAAATCAGCTCATAAAATCAATAATTTAAAGATATAAAAATAATTAGTGATAAATAATTTGAAAATTTTAATTTTGTTTCAAAGAGAAAAAAAAAAGTATCAATTTTTATTTTAATAATTACCCACTTTTCAATCAATAATTCGATAACCTAATATCTCGGCCCGATGGATGTTCATGTCGAATCTAATAACTATAGCCTCTAAGCAATCGAGCATGCTTAATAAATACATCTAGTTTACTCAATATCATTAGATAATTAAAAAAACCAGGGAATAAAATGCTTGAGAAATTTTAAGCAAATACTTTGGACACGTATTTTTACTTCATTTCTAAATGCTTTTCACGAAAGAACAAAAATGTGATTGTCTCCCTTTCATTTACGCAAAAACTACACATTTTCCGAATATTCCAAAACAAGACGAAATAATGTACTCCTTTTGTCCCATTTATACAGATTGAATTCTCTTATTTTTCTGTCCTAATTATATGATCCTATTTATTTATTGAGAAGGTTTTGTTTTGTTTCGTTCATTTATTAATATAACTTTATTTTATTTTATTAATTATAATTAAATTTTCATACATAATTTTGAAGTTGTACAAATTTAAGTAAATGTAGACTAGGAAAGTTTTGACAAAAATTAATTTTTTAATAGAATAATGTTATGTAGCACTACTGAAATTATAACATCAATTTAGATGATACTAGATGATTGGTTAAATGAAATATGAAATTAAATGAACCATTTAATTTTATTTATCAATTAATGACATATCTTACCTAAATTGAGATTGCAATTTCAATGGGACTAAATAACATTACTCTTTTCAATAATATTAAATAAATTTTTTTTTAATTCATATGAAAAATAAAATCAAACTATATAAATAAGATGAAGGGAGTATATTTATTGCTTTTGAACTACGTTATTTCACATTTTACAAAATTACAAAAATACTTTTTAAATAATAAAAATATAAAAATATCTCCCATCAATTCAAAAAATATCTTCGGGCAAAGAAAAAGGAAGAAGAAAGATATCCTATATCTTTGATCCATCCTCTTCAATTTCTGTCATCCACTCTTTTTTAATAAAAATGCACTCTGCAACTCTACCTCTGTACACACCTTCAATCGTAACAAGTAATCCTAAAAATAAAAGTTCAAAGATTGCATGGAATTTTTCTGAAAGGACTAATTTTCAAACATGTAGAGTTTCTGCATCTTCAAATTCTCCTATTACTGAATTCAACCTCTATGAACTTCTTGGAATTGACAGTTCTTCCGATCAAACCCAGATAAAATTAGCATATAGGAATCTTCAGAAACGGTGCCACCCCGATATAGCAGGGCCGGCGGGCCACGACATGGCTATTATACTGAATGAAACTTATGCTCTTCTCTCTGACCCCAATTCTCGGAGGGCATATGATAAGGTTAGTGTTGGTATCTTTGCTTTTACGTATTCACGGAAATTTGGGAATTTGGGCCTGTATTGTTATTCTCTGCAATCGGGCTAAATTAGCTGTGACAGATAAATGGTTAGTGCTCAATTATCGATCAATTATTTGAATACTAAATATGTGGATTGTGTAATCGAGTTACATATGCTTAAGCACACATATACGGCGGATTCGGAGGTGTTTAACCATTCAATTGGATTCATTCACCAGATTTGAACCTATATGTTTTGTCAAAATTGATGCTATGTTGAATTACTTTGGCTTAGAACTTTAACTATTAGAGGGACATTTATTTATTTATTTAAATTTATACGATAACTGGTTATTGTGGTGGCAAGTTGCAGAGAATTCAATTTTCAGGAACGAATTAACATTTTAGTAGATAAGTGCTTCGTGGTAATGAAAAAATTGATGTCGAAGGACATTGTGTATTACTGCTTTTGTAGTTAATGCTGTAGTTTTGCATATTTGCAACCAAGTGATCTGACATTGGTTTTAATTTAAGGCAGTTTGTCCACTATTAGTACTGAGAACAGATCTAGCTAAGGGATGGAGTCAAAATTTTTGTTTATGAATACAAGTCATTTTGTTCATCACTTTTATTGTCAATATTTCTTGAGCGAGGCCAACTTGGCAGAGTTGCTGGAGGTACATTTCAGTGAAAGTTCGGTAAGAGGAAGGGTCCGCGAGGAAGCGAATGGAGAAGAGTTCGCAGAGTGAAGGGATCTTTGAGAGAAAAATTGTAGCTCTGAATTGGGGTGTTGGACGAGTTTTCCAGGTGGCCTTTGGGGAAGTAATAGACCTGAGAGTTGAGAGGTGCAATTTAGACAGAGGAATCGACAATTCCTTCCCACACACAAGACTTGGTAATAGTTTTGGTGGAGATGGACTAGAGGAGTGAGTGAAGAGGTTATTGAAGGGTTTTTTCTTTGATAGTGTGAAATGCCTGGGGATGTGGGAAGATGTCACATTTGGAGGAAGAGTAAAGGTTCTTCATGTATTTTTAGGTGGTTTGCAGTACACGTCCCATTTAAATTTTGAAGAAATTTTAGGATATCAAACTTTTAAGGGACATATATAATTGTGTTTTGCAGTACATGCTGCACTTGAGTTCGTAATCACTTATTTTTTGATGTACAAGTACATTTTTAAACTTTTGATTTTAAAACAAGTCAATCAACTTGAGGTAAGAGGAAGGGTCCGCGAGGAAGCGAATGGAGAAGAGTTCGCAGAGTGAAGGGATCTTTGAGAGAAAAATTGTAGCTCTGAATTGGGGTGTTGGACGAGTTTTCCAGGTGGCCTTTGGGGAAGTAATAGACCTGAGAGTTGAGAGGTGCAATTTAGACAGAGGAATCGACAATTCCTTCCCACACACAAGACTTGGTAATAGTTTTGGTGGAGATGGACTAGAGGAGTGAGTGAAGAGGTTATTGAAGGGTTTTTTCTTTGATAGTGTGAAATGCCTGGGGATGTGGGAAGATGTCACATTTGGAGGAAGAGTAAAGGTTCTTCATGTATTTTTAGGTGGTTTGCAGTACACGTCCCATTTAAATTTTGAAGAAATTTTAGGATATCAAACTTTTAAGGGACATATATAATTGTGTTTTGCAGTACATGCTGCACTTGAGTTCGTAATCACTTATTTTTTGATGTACAAGTACATTTTTAAACTTTTGATTTTAAAACAAGTCAATCAACTTGACAGAACAGATTGTCAAATTGCATAGCATCTGTTGCATAGATCTTTTGATCGCCTAAACTAGTAAAATGGAATATCTTTATGGAACAGATGAGAAGCACTCACCTCTTGTTCAATTATATATCGGATAAATGCAGGAGCAAGCAAAAGTTGCAGATTTACAAGGCTACACCGGCAGTCCTATATATTCTGTGTGGTATGGTTCAGAAAGTGAAAACAGGGCTGTTTTTGTTGATGAAGTCAAGTGTATTGGTTGCTTAAAATGTGCCTTATGCGCTGAGAAAACATTTGCTGTCGAATCAGTATATGGAAGAGCTAGGGTTGTTTCTCTCGGATATTTTTGATGAGGTGGAGAAATTCCTGACCAAATATGCCAGGCACAGAGCTTCCACAAATTATTCCCAGGTGATTCTTGTATATTTCTTATTCTTCAAAACATATATGTTTTTACATTCAAACGGACAATGAGTGTGGCTAACGAAGCACACACTTATCCATTTTACTTAATTATCTTAGCAAACATTTGATTGAGCATAAAATGTCCATTGAAGGAATCGGAGGCTCATACAGCAGCAAGAGTCTCAGCTGTTCAAGCGATTCAAATGATATCAAACTGGTTGTACTGGCAATCTCCGGGAATGGCAGCTGAACATACAGATAACCACAGCTTGGTACCACTTTCACGAAAACATGCAGATCCCAGTGTTAAGAGGCTGAGAGACGCTGCTGCAGCTAGACGCCAAGCAAGAAATTTTACGAAACCAACCAAAGGAGTATTCGCAAGCAACACATCCTATGAGGAGTATTGGATTCCATCAAAGCTCGTTCTACCAGAGGTTACTACTGTAGATTCTGACTCTAGAGTTGCGGCCTCATATTCTTCTCCAACTACAGAAACGAAAGAACCAAGGGCTCGTAAATTCTCTAGCCCCGAGGAGGATACAGACACCCCTTTACTTAATGGATTGCCGGTGGGGACAGCAATAATGGCTGCGGTATTTGTTCGGTTACGGGTGGGAGAACAAGTAGGCAATATAAAGGAGCATATTGGTGGTTCTCTTGTTCTGGATATTGTTAATAGCTCATGGTTACAGGTGCTTTTAGCTGGTGTTACTTGGTATCTCATTGGAATGGCTTTAATGGAATTAGTTGAAGCCATTCGACGTAAATAAGGGAAATATTGTAGCTCATTGATAATTGTATGTATATAACATGGTGATATTTTATGAAATAAAAGATTTGACGAGGGCCTATAGAAACATTTATAACCAACATATTGCAAAGTAAATTGAAGTATCCGAAGCTCCCATTTAATCCTTTGTCACAATCTTGTTATCTCTACCGTACTGAATTGCTCGGCATTCCACGGAGCAAAATGGTTTGTCCTTGCATATATAAAAATAATGTTTTTTAGATTCAAGACAATCGAATATTTAAAAGTTGGATAAAGCTAGTGGTACATAATTTGATGTACCGAAAGGTGTACACCATTTGGTATACCAAATTATGTATCCTTAGCAAAAATCATAAAAGTTTATATCTACGTGAAAGCGTAACAAAGAGTAATCTAAGTCAAAATCAATAATTAATTTTAACTACATATTTCATAAGTTTCACTACTTTTAAATCACACATTTTATAAACTATTGTAAAAATTTACTAAAAGTCTGATTTTTAACTAAAACAAATAGGGGCAAAATAATATTAAAATTTGAAAACGATTTTTGTTTAAAATTCGTAAACTGCAAATTTAGTTAGCATAAAACAATGCATGCACGCTAGGAGATTAAGGCAAGTGAACTAAAAAAGGTAAAAACAATAAAAATATTTTCTTATTAAATTAAAAAACATGAAAGCTTAACGGAAGGAAAAAAGATTCAACAAGTCACGTGAATGTTGGCTCCGTAAAGAAGTAAATTTCAACTTCTTGTATAATTCGCAAGAAATTGAAGATAAAATTACTTACTTATACATGTAGATATCTTGATCAGAACAAATAACGCGCCTACAAATGGGACAAAGATTACCAAAGCCACGGTGAGTTCCAGTTTTACCCATGTGTACTCATATCGAATATGTGTCTTGGATGGTGTCTCGGCCATTGTAGCATCTACTAGAAGAGAAAACAACATGAAGAATGTTGAATGTTGAATTTTGAAGTGGGGAGTAGATATATTTATAGTTGCTTTTGAGAGGAACTATCGTAAAATAATTAATGCGACAGATGTATAAGGAAAAATAAGGGATTTTTGGAGATTTTTTCTTCTAAATTATGATATTGCCATATCCTTTAACTTGATCAGTATGAATCTTAATTATTATGGTAAGTACGTATTCCTGAAAAATAAAATAATATATTAAAATTTTTGAAACATGACTGTTACGCTTATAAATTACCACTTTATATTGGGTCATCTTATTGGACCCGGACGAAGCCCATTGGTATTGAACAACAGAGGCCCAAGTGACAGCCAAGTAAAAGCCCCAAACTGAGGCTCTAAAGAGGTCAGTCGAGGCACCACAGAGGCCCTAAGAAGTCCAGTTGAAGTGCCTGCTGAGGTGCCTATTACTTTGCTCGCCTTATATTGGGCTCGGACTTAGGCCTGTTAACCCGCTTGGCCCATTTCATTTCGATTTCTCTATATATATGAATCCATTCACACAATTAAGATATGTTTAGACACTCTAGCCAAATCCCCCATTTTCATATTATTGTACTCTATATATTTATTTTCCTTCAGCCGTTGACTTGACTATCGGAGTGCAAACGGTCGTCGAACCTTTTTCTCGTCTGGCCGCCTTTGCCTCTTCACGGGGAACTACGTGTGCAAATTCGGAGGGGACGAGGCCGAGGCATATGTTGGAGCCATTTTTGAAGGTCAACAGATTGAAAAATTCTGCACGGTGGAGACCTTCAAGATGAAAATATTATTCAAGTGTGTTTATGAATTAATAAGATAATACCAATGCCATAGCACAGTGATTCATTTTCTTCATTGATCTGCCTAATATTTACATTTTCATTCAATTATGACTGATGTGAATTGTTATTTGTGTAATCTTTTTAATATTTTTCAAGTAGTCATTCACATTATTTAATTAATATATATGTGAAAAGCGTGCTATTCTGCATGCTAGTTTTTAACAAAATTTGACAATGGTTTTACCCTTTCGGTGCGTTTGGACCTTTGTATACCACATATTTTATATATAGGATAGTTTTTATCCTATATTGCTCTTGGTTTTGACAATACCCGAATTATATCTATTAGTAAATTAATTTTTTTTTTTTTTTTTGTAACCGTGCCGCATTAAATTAACTCATACAATGTGGCGGGTTTAGACTAAATTATTTGTTACTTCTATTACATGTAATAAATAATAGGAAAAAGTGTATTTCTATAACTAACATGTATCATGTCACTTTCTCTGTTAAGATTTGGGGTCCATCTTAATAAGATCAACCTTATTAAGAGGAGTAGTCCAAAATCTTTTTAAATTGGTCAATATTTCAATATTTAACTTATGTAGGATTTTTATCCCTTAACATGCCCCCACAAGATAGTGGCTCGTTTGAGCAGACAAATCTTGCAATCTGTTGCTCATTAATTGAGACTTATAATCGGATCGAATCGCTCGTTGAAACTTAATGGGCTCTGATACTATGTTAAGACTTGTGGTCCATCTCAATAAGATCAACCTTATTAAGAATAGTAGTCCAATATCTTTTTAAGTTGTTCAATATTTCGGTATTTAACCGATGTGGAGTTTTTATCCCTTAACATTCTCTACCATGAAAACTCAATTCACATATAACAGAACAAAAAATAAAATTAACATCTAAATATTAGCTCAAGAAGTTCTTATAAGAAAATTGAAATTCTAGTTAAAGATGTTGTATTTGTTTTATTACAAATTGATTGTGTGTGATCTTATAATTAGACATGTCACTTTCCAAGTTAATATAATAATCTTAAAAATATATTGTACCTCAAGAAAGAGGTAAACATCGAACTCGAGGATTTAGCATATGAAAACAATAAATAATTAAAATCATTGCAAATTAGGTGTATAATTTTTACAAATTAAATTTTACAATTACAATTAAAAGCAATTGCAATACGTAACAAAAAAATAATAAAATAATAAAAGTGCATGTCACTTCTCTATGAGACATTTTTAAGCTAATTTAATTCTTGTCTAACGTAACAAAAATTTACTTTAAAACTTTTTTATTTTGGCATTGTAAGCTTATATATGAATTACTAAGCATAATTATCATGAAGTACAACATGAACAAATTATAGTGTGTGACCTTTTATTTACAAAGCGAGCCAACATGTATTTTTCAACAAAAAATTAACAAAATCACAATGAGAGATAAAATAATAGCTTGCATTTCCTGTCATTTGATACCTGATTATTGATACAACAAGATAGTTTCTAATTAAGGAAACGAAAGAACCAAGTGCCAACAAATCCTCAAGTCCTAAGGAGGATATGGACACCCCTTTACTTAATGGACTGCAAGCTGCGACAGCTATAATGGCTGCAATTTTTGTTGGGCCATAGGTGGGAGAACAAGAAGGAAATGTAAAAGATGATATTGGTGGTTCTCTATTTCTGGATATTTTTAATAGCTCATGACTACGTGTGTGTTTTAGCAGGTGTTATTTGGTATCTCATTGAGATGGCTTTAATGGAATTAGTCGAAGCCATGGCCATTCGACGTAAATAGAGGAAATATTGTGGCCAATTGATAATTGTATGTATGTAATGTAGTGATATTTGGAAAAATACAAGATTTGACAAGGGTCATAATCTTATTAAGTTGTGAAATAAGTCAAAAGAGAATTCGATAAATCTCAGTTGATTGACTAACTTTGATCCTCAACTCTAAACTATAATTTGTGACATGTTTGAAATAAAAATAAATTGCAAACAAAATGTAAAGAAAATTAAATTATTTTGCTGCTCCCTTTCGATTCTTTCCCACCCTTCTTGTTATCTTCACCCCTCTTTTCATCTTTATCATACTAAATTGCTCGACATTCAACGGAGCAAAATGGCTTGTCACTGCTTAAAAATAATGTTTTTTGAAGTTAGATGGTTCGATGCAATCCTATAGTAACAAGTAATAAATACTATAAAAGGGAAATTATCATCCAAAAAGTGAAATTATTTTGCTTAGCATTAAGGTTTCAAATTCATAAACGGGGAATATAGTTTACATAATCCATATGTGATAGATTCAAAGCAAACGAACGTAAAAAAAAGTTGACATTTGTTTGATCCCTATTATTTTCAAAATACATTTTTTTCTCTTCTTTTCAGCTACACATTATTTTTTTCAATGAAATAATATTACGCAAAAGTGTAAAAAAAAAAA